AGGAAACGATGTGACCTTTTGTGACTGGCCTTAGAAGTCCACCTCATTCCTGGTTGCAAGCAAGTCATAGGCCAGCTCAGACTCAAGGGGGTGGGGGGAATTAGGTTCTATCTCTTGATAGTGGAATGGCAGAGTCACATTGTACATGAACATGTGCAATGGAAGCTATTTTTGTAGCCGTCTTTGGAAAATACAGACTGCTGCACCATCCTTGAGAATAAAACCATCTCAGAGGAAGCTGTTGAGATATGAGAACAGCCCTAATGCTGTCTGAGTGCCTGGATCCAATTTTCCCCAGGACTACAGTTATGAGAGCCATTGGATTCCTTTTCTGCTTAAACCAATCTGAGTTTGTGCTTTTGCTGCTTGCAATGGAAACAGCTTTTGCTCTTACTGAGCCAGTTATCTATTGCATTATGATAAACTATCCCCAAACTCAGTAGTTCATTAATAATAGTTTATTATTTCTCATGATTCTCTGGGTTGGCTGGGCCACTCCTCGGCTGATCTTATTTGAACTCATTCATGCAACTGCTGGAGTGGAAAGTTCAAGAAGGCCTCATTCACATATCTGGCTGCTGGCTGGGAGCCTCAAGTTCTCCTCCATGTAGTCTCTCATCCTCCAGTAGTATAGATTGACTTGCTTACAGGGTGGTCTCAGGACAATGTTCCAAGAGAGTGAAGGTAGCCAGGACTTAAGGCCTGAATTCCAGAATTTGTACAGCATCACTTCTGTTGTATACCTTTGCTCAAAGCAAGTGACAAAGCCAGCCCAGTTCAAAGGAGTGAGTAAATAGACTCCATCTCATACTGGGAGAATTGCAGAGAATTTGTGGCCACGGTATGATATATGGATTATGTTAGATGGGAATATCTTTAGAGTAGAGGAAGCAGGGTGTGTGTGCAAAGAAGGCAGAGCCAGGGTATTCTAGGCATGTTCTCACTGAGGAGCATATAGTTGGAATGGGATTTCCATGGTGGCTCCTCTGAGCTGAAGGCCCGTGACAAGATCTACACTAGATCACTGGTTTCTAGAGGCAACTTTGAGTTAAAACCTACAGTGTCGGGATCCCTGCCTGGGTGGCGCAGTGGTTTAGCGCCTGCCTTTGGCCCAGGGTGTGATCCTGGAGACCCGGGATCGAATCCCACGTCGGGCTCCCGGTGCATGGAGCCTGCTTCTCCCTCTGCCTGTGTGTCTCTGCCTCTCTCTCTCTCTGTGTGTGTGACTATCATAAATAAATAAAAATTAAAAAAAAAACTAAAATCTTTAAAAAAAATAAAAATAAAAAAATAAAACCTACAGCGTCTGAGTGACTTCACCTCTCGGAGCCTCAGATTCTCCTCTATAAAATGGGTGTGATCATCCCTGCCTCACAGATCTGCTGTGAGGCTGAAGATGATGACTGTGAATGTGCTTTGTAAATTAGAGTACCAACCACATATGACTGAACATTGTTCTAGAAGGAATAATCAAGGATGGGCCTGGGTGGTCAGAGAGGGCAAGAGGGAGGAAACTGAGATAGGGCTCTGAAAGATGGAGACATTCACACCAATGGGGAGGAAGGGCTATATTTCAAGATGGAAAGCCGAAGAGTAAAACTATAAAGGTACAGAGACAGAACAGTGACAGACTGTACACAGGACAAGGAGAACAAGGTCAGAGAGTGAGCTCCCCCACTGCCCTGGACTCTGGGCTTCTGGGCTTCCGTGTACTGGGTCAGCAGCCCCTGATGGGCACTCAGAGCTGTAGTCAAGTCCTTCTGTGCCCAGGAATCATCAGTAGCCTGTCGCTACCCAGGCCTGCAAAGCCTCCTCAGGCCACAGGGGGTGATAAGGGGACTATGGGGGGGGGGGTCAGAGAGCATGCTAGAGGCAGAACACCTTCTTCTGGAACCACTAGGATCATATCAGACCCTCCTCTCACCCCCACTCCCAACCAGTGTTCCCAAGCTCCTTTCTCCTCAGCAGGGTGGGGACTGTGGCCATAGCCTCAGGACACAGGTGGCCTGGCTAAACTGGGCTCCAAGGCCCTTGATCCTCTGGACAGGGGTAAGCGTGATTGATGGGTTTCCAGTGTGTTCCAGGCAGGGGCTTGGAGCTGCTGCAGATTAGCCTGGCCTGCAGAAGCCCCAGATGACCACTTGTGGCTGGGGCTGACCTCTCCAAGCCAGGCCCTGACAGTCCAGATCTGTGGCCACCTCCCAAGCCCTGTCTATCCTAGGGTCCTGACTGAGGACAGCAGGCCTCTTCTTCCTCAAAAGAATCCCGGGAGGGAAAGTGGGGAAAGACTCAGATTCCCTCCAGTCTAGCCCTGCCCAGCTCACAGTTCTATCTCACTTGGGACAGGACAGGGTCCTTTGATTGGGGGCTGGGGGTACAGGAGGTGGTGAGGCAGGGAGGGAGGACATGAGCTGGAGGAACACAAATGGCAGGGTTGGAACTGAAACCAAGGGACTAGCTCACAGTCCCTCAGCCCTGTGCCAACCATGACAATACCCAATGGCCATTTGGGGCTAGGGAAGTGGGGTCCTCAGTGTGAAGTCTGGGCTAAGCAAGGAGACCCAGGCAGGATTTGTGGCCTAAAGGGTTCCACTCTGCCCAACTCTCACCCCACAGGGTACTCTGGCTCCCATTACAGACAGAGAAGAGAGGGGTGCAGAAGAGAGGTAGGCTGGGTGCAGAAGGCCTCTTTCATGTACCCTTGGGTTCCATAGAGCAGAGGATGTAGAAAGCAGCTAATTACCCTAACATTGACCTCAGTCCTCTGATTTACTTCCCCACCATCCTCTCCTGTATACCTTGCTCTCTTTATCTGGCCTCAGTGGTCACATTGCTTCTTTGGCCTCCCTCCTGATCTGTGGCCTGACTTCTTGCAGCTGTCAGGCCTTCCTTTCTCTCCTCTCTACAATGTTTGTTGTTAGCATCTTATCGATATTGCCAGCAGTACTGGGGGCCTCAGAACTCGCTCTGTCCAAATTTTTGTTGCACGGTTGGGGATCCTGAGGCCCAGGGTCACTTGGATCATTGCTTGTCCAATGTCACACATCAGAATCAGCAAAAGAGCCAGCACTAGGCTTTTGTCTCCCAACTTCCTATTTTTCTCCTGTCCTTTGATCTGGCTGTTGCAGTCTAGTCTTTTTCCTCAGACTAGTAGAGCTCTTTTTAAAGAATTATTTATTTATATGGGGGGTGGGGGGGAGCAGAAGGAGAGAGAGAGAATCTTAAGCAGAATCCATACTGAGCATAGAGCTCTATGCAAGGCTCGATCTGACCACCCTGTGATTATGCCCTGAGTCGAACCAAGAGTCAGATGCTTAACCAACTGTGCCACCAACTGCACCAACCAGGTACCCCAGACTAGTAGAGCTCTTATGGTTTTCACTCAGCTCAGACTTTGCCTTCAAAGCCACGGCTGTAGCTACTTCACAGTTTGGCTCCAACAACAAATTGGACGAGACTGGGTCTGGCTACAGAATCTATGGGCCAAGGGGTAGGGACTAAGAGGGAGACTAGCCTCCAGGAGACAAAGCAAACCAGATCTGTGTTTTAGGTCGCTTGCGAGCTGTTGCTGCTCAACATCCTTCCTCCGTACCCACTCTTTCCCTCCAGCAGCCCAGGTTTAGGGAGATGCTCAGAAAAACAAAGTTCCTAAACTCCTGCCTACACACACACACACACACACACACACACACACACACACATACACTCAGAGACAAAGACACAGACACACACAAGCACATATACACAGCTCTCTGGATGAGGATCACAGTCACTGCTCACTGTGAGATCCTTACCACGTGAGGCTCATTTCTCTGAGAGCAAGAACGTGTCTCCTCCCTTGTGGCCTCCCAGCGCTCAGCCTAAAGCCTGCCATGGAGCTTGATGAGGGTGTGTGGAAAGAGTGAGCCGACACTTGGTATTGATGCTGTTGGGACCAGGCCTCCATCTCCCCATCCTGGCATGAGGCAGGAAGCCCGGCCCAGGCCTGAGGAGCCTGGCCCATGAGGTGGGTCCTAGAAGCTCTTGCTCTGGGTTCCTAGTACACCCCTCCCCATCTGCCTCCAGCTGGGACTCTAATGTAGTCCATGAAGCATCAATATCACCTGGCAGTTGTTAGAAATACAGTCTCAGGCCTCACCTCAGACATACTGAATCAGAAGCTCCGTGTGGGGCCCAGCAATCAACCCTCCAGGGGATTCTAATGCATGTGAAAGCTGTAGAACGGCTGCGAAGGCCAGCCGGCAGATTCCTGCTGGCAGGGAGGCAGCTCAAGTCTAGAAGCACACGCAGCTGCTTACGCCACCTATGGGTAAGGTTGTGCATATGCCAGTGGGCCCCACACCTGAAGTCGGACACATATACACACCTATGACGGTCCGGCAAGGTCTCAGACAGTCTAGGTGCAGGGGCTCTGGGGCTCAGTGGCCATAGACAGACCCCCAGATGGAAGTAGGTAGGAGCAGGGTAGAACTGTTCTCACCAGGTGATATCCTGTGTCCTCTAATTCCTTTGTTCCTTTCCCTTCTAAGTTTCTCTGTCTGTTCCCTCAGGGGCCAGAGAAGCTGAGTAGTCATCCAACTCAGACCAGGCCCTACCCTCAGTTGGGAGACCAGGTGACTTGTGTGCCTAAGAGAGTTTGGAGTATGTGCTAACACCAGCAAAGTTCTCTCTCTGCATGGGCGGGCCAGGGCCAGGGGAATGTAGGGATCAGCGCAAAGCTTAGGCAAGAGCACGCTACCCCCTGAGCCATGAAATGCTGCCCAGCTGTAGAATAGCCCCTGGCCCCTTCCCAAGGCTGCTCCCCATGCCCATCCTACCTCCCCAAATGTCTCTCTGCTCTGGCCTGGGGAGCCCCAGGCAGCTGCCCACCTGGCCTTTCCCCAGGTCCTGCAGCATCTCCCCCTAAGGATCTGGAAGGGAAATCAGGGCCTCTGGGAGCTCCAGGGGATGTGGGGAGGGGATGGGGAGGCTGAGCTTCCCCATGCTCAGATCTGGTTTCTCAGCGCTTCCCCTGGCGCACTGCCACAGGCTGAGCCACCAGCCGCGCTATATAAGGCCCTGCGGCTGGACCGGAGAGCTGGAGACCTGAACCCCCAGCTGAGGAGTCCCGCTCAGGACACCAGGTGAGCTCCCCTCCCATTTCCCTCAACTCCTGCCTGCATTTCACTGCCCTGTTCAGCTACTCCTGTCCTCCCCTGCATCTCCTCTCCCCCTCTGCCCTTCTACTTTGAAGTTCACTCTTTTCCCCCATTGGTCCAAAGTCCTCCCCCTCCTTCACCTGAGGTCAGGGACTCTCAGATGGTCCCAGTAGGGTCTGTACCTCTGGGTGCCTCCTTTTCTCTTGCGGTCAGCCAGTCTGCTTTGTCCGAGAGTTCTGAGGAGCGTGGACCGGGAGCCTAACAGAGCATATGCTGAGGAAACTTCTGTGGGCTGCCAGATGGGAAATGGTTTTTCCACAAGGTGCCTCAGGCCACCTTGGCCTCCCAGACAGTTCTAGAGCCGCCTCAGACTGAATGCTGTGTAGCACTCAGCTCCCTGCTCAGAGCCCAGGAGCCTGGGGTAAGACACACAATGGGGACCCCCATGCCTCTGTTCCCTTGGCTGAGAAAAAGGTGGCGGCAGAGCAGGAAAGGGGGGCGGTAAGTTAGTATGCTTAGAGCTAGAAGATCTGCGATGTGGGATTGGTTTGTTCTTCTCTCTGGACAGCTAAGTGCTTTTGGATCTTTTTTCCCCCGGAAAGGAGGAATCTCCTCTTTCCCACCACACCCTGGACTTTGGACATTGAAGGGAGCCACTTTTGAATCTCCAGGAACTGGTCAGATTCTGGGTTGGCCAGAGCTCTGGGGAGAGATAAAAATGAGCAGGAGCCTGGGCCACACCCCACGGATCTTTGCCCTTATCACCAAACCCACTCTCCTCTCCAGGTTCTACAGCCCCTAACCAGTTATTGGGGAGCCCTGGCTTTGCACGGGGTGTCCCCTCTGCTCTCCTTCAGGGAGCTCCTGGCTGTGTAACTCCTAGCCAGGCCCCAACAAACAGGCCAGAAATGTGTTCCAGCTGCAGCCTGTGCGCATCTGGGAATGTGTTCACGGCGGTCGAGTGTCTGAAGCATCTGTGCCCTCCAGCTTGCCTGTCCTGTGAGGGGCCACTGTAGTCAGGGCTGGGCTGCATGGTGTTAATGTGTAGCCCTATTGTGCAAGAGTGTGAGCCTCACCAAAGGGTAGCAAAACATGCCCCCAAGCCCAGGTCTTGGAAGTGATAAATGAGTCATTCAGAGGCTGTTGGGAGTAAGCCCTGGCCCCTCCTCATTGGCAAGTTACCTCCTTACCCCTTGTCTCCCTTGTGCCCCATCTTGAGATGGGGTCCTGGAGCCTGGATCTGAATCCAGCTCTGCCTTATTTGAACTCAAATCCTGAGCCTCTGCACCTCCCAAGCTACCCAGATTCACGACTTGGGCAGGTGTTATCTCCCACAAGACTTTATTCTATCCTTCTACCTTTGATAGGTCAAAAAATAGTTCTGCTCAGGCCATGAGAGATGACACAGGAATGTGAAGCTGATAAGCATTGTTTCTTTGCAGGTTATTGGATCTGAGAAACTTCCTAGGGGACTGCATTCTGAGGAGGACCCAACTCTGAAGCACCCTCAGCCATCTCCTGCTATGTTTCCAAGAGGGCCTGGGGGAAAGATGGTGGGGACCAAGGCCTGGATGTTCTTCTTCCTGGTCCTGGAAGTCACCTCTGTGTTGGGTATGGGCTAAGTATCTGCTCTCTTCCAAACCTCTACTTGCCATAGTGAAGTCAGATGTGGTCTGGGACCCAACTATGGGCCTCAGCAATGTCCTTAAAGCCTCAGGCTGGTTTATAGACTTATTAATCATTTATCTTTGTTTTCCCAAAGAATTTTTTATTTTTTTTTAAAGATTTATTTATTTATTTATTCATGATAGTCACAGAGAGAGGAGAGAGAGGCAGAGACACAGGCAGAGGGAGAAGCAGGCTCCATGCCGGGAGCCTGACGCGGGACTTGATCCCGGGACTCCGGGATTGCGCCCTGGGCCAAAGGCAGGCGCTAAACTGCTGAGCCACCCAGGGATCCCCTGTTTTCCCAAAGAATTTGAGATAGCTCCCAATATTAACACTCACAGAATGGAATCTTTTTTTTTTTTTTAAAGATTTTATTTATTTACTCATGAGAGACAGAGAGAGAGAGGCAGAGACACAGGCAGAGACACAGGCAGAGGGAGAAGCAGGCTCCCCACAGGGGGCTCGATGCAAGATTCAGTCCCAGGACCCCAGGATCATGCCCTGAGCCAAAGCAGACGCTCAACCACTGAGCCACCCAGATGCCCCAGAACAGAATGCATCCATCCTTCCTTTCTTTTTTTTCTTTTCTCTTTCTTTCTTTCTTTCTTTCTTTCTTTCTTTCTTTCTTTCTTTCTTTCTTTCTTTCTTCTTTCTTTCTTTCTTCGTTTCTTTCTTTTTTCTTTCTTTCTTTCTTTCTTTCTTTCTTTCTTTCTTTCTTTCTCTCTCCTTCCTTTTTCTTTCTTTCTTCTTTCTTTCTTTCTTTCTTTCTTTCTTTCTTTCTTTCTTTTCTTCTTTCTTTCTTTTCTTTCGTTCTTTCTCTTTCCTTTCTTGGATTCTATTTATTTATTCATGAGAATACACAGAGAGGAGAGAAAATCTTTTAAATGAGGAGAGGGATTAGCTGTCACCCAAAGGGAGGAAAAAAGATAAGAGGGTTATCACCGCTGGGTGCTAAATTTAGCTCTGAGATTCCTGGCAGTCAAAGCAAAAGGGAATCACAAGGGATCACTGGGTTCTCAAAAGCAGGTTTGAGGTTTGGTCTGGCTTTAGTTTCATAAAAATTCTTCAAGCTTAAAGCTCAGTTTCATTTAGACCGTGCAGCCAAACTTCACAGATACCAGAACCCATTCTGGTTTCCCTGTCCTCTGACCATGTCCTCTGATGACACTGAGTTCTTGAAGGGATAGGTGGAGGCCAGATGCCTGAGCATCAGTACTCCCAGCACTACCCCATATGCTCTCTCCCATCTGCCCTTCCTCTCCTGACTTCTAACTACATACTCAAGTATGTACTCAAGCTCAAAGCCCTCTTGTAAAGCTTCATGCACTGCGGTCTTTGTGAGTGCCCATGCGGGAACAAAGGCTGTCTCACCATCTTGCCAAATCCTGTGTGCACCCACCTCCCACCTTGCTCTTTCCACCCCGACAGCTGCTATTTATGAAGATGATTAACATTCAGTCATCTGAGGGGAAATCAGATTAGTTTGATTAAAAGAGCTCCTATCACCCCAATTAAGCAGCATAGAGAATTCTGATTTGCCTCCTTGCAGGAGAGTTAATTGCCTTTCAAAGCTTGTCTGTTCTCTACTCTTCTCCTTCCCCTCCCGGAGCCACCAATCCAGCCTCAGATGGGGTGGGGCTGGAAGTTGCTTATGGCCCAAGGATCCTGTACCCATCTTTAGGAGTTGCTGACACTAGAGGATCCCTGGGTGGCTCAGTGGTTTAGCGCCTGGCTTCAGCTTAGGGTGTGATCCTGGAGTCCTGGGATCAAGTCCCACGTTGGGCTCCCTGCATGGAGCCTGCTTCTCCCTCTGCCTGTGTGTGTGTGATAAATAAAAATCTTAAAAAAAAAAAAAAAGGAGTTGCTGACACTTATTCAGCAAACACCATGCGAGGCATTGTTCTAAGTGGATTTCATGAATGAGCTTATTTAATCGCCACAATCCTTTGAGGCAAGAACTATTATTATCCTTATCACTTCTTGCCCTCAGGGAGGCAGATGATGCTCACCCAGTCGGTAAGAAGAGTCCAGCCTGGGAGGAGGACCTCCAACATCTTTGCCAAACTTGTCAACTCTCTGGAAAGTGAGTTGTGGCTGGAGCAGGGAGGGTCAGAAGAGGGGTCAGGAGAGGGGCGTCTTTATTGAGCTTGGTGCGAGAATCTTTGAAGCCAGGGCATGATGTCACGGTTTCCATGGAAACCCACTTTTACAAGGCATTTAACCTACATCTTTATCCAGGCAGACAGACCTGGGAAATAGGACAGCTTAGAATGTGAAGCTCCCTGACATGCTTAGGAATGCTATGGGGCTTGCTGGGGCCAGAGCTCGGGCTGGTGGAGACAGAGGGAGATGAGGATAGAGAGACAGCAGGGGCCAGCTCACCACCAGCTCACCTTGAATGCCTGGCTAAGGGATTTAAAGCTGGGGAGCAGTGGGATCCAAGCCACCCAGAAAAAGCCCACCCTGTTTGCAGTGTCCAGGAGGCGGAAGGGTGGGTGGAGGGGGAACTTGGAAGTAGAGAGATGAGGCATGGAGTTACCTGACCTGGTACAGCCAGGCTGCTGAGAGCTGTAATGGAGTGGCAGGAGCAGAAGGTTGAAAGGCTGGAGAGATGCTGGAGAGATAGATGTGATAGGGCTGGGACCAATGGGTGTGGGTGAGAGGTATCAGGAGTGAGTCCCAGGAGTAAGGGAGGTAAGAGGGATGGAGCTTCCCTGAGGCTCCAGCGCCCCCCTGACCTGCCTCTACCTCTCAGGTCCTGGCGAGTGGACAACATGGTTCAACATCGACCACCCAGGTGGACAGGGTGACTATGAGCGACTGGATGCCATTCACTTCTACTATGGGGACCGTGTGTGTGCTCGGCCCCTGTGGCTAGAGGCTCGGACCACTGATTGGACACCTGCAGGCAGCACTGGCCAGGTGGTCCATGGCAGTCCCCATGAGGGCTTCTGGTGCCTCAACAGGGAGCAGCGGCCCGGCCAGAACTGCTCCAATTATACCGTGCGCTTCCTCTGCCCACCAGGTGAGCCGGACAGTCCCCAACCCCCTACCTCCCACCAGCCTCGACACAAGGAGAGACCAGGATTGGCATCTGGCCACGGGGACTCTGGATATCACACACATACACAGGATTCGACTCCCTCAGAATAACACATTAGTGTCATGAGAGCCATAATCTTCCCAAGAGTACTCATTCAACTCACTTATTGAGAGTGCATGGCAAGATGGTGAAGACCACAGGCCCTGGAGTTGGGCTGCTTGCATTTGAATCCTGGGTCTACCGTCTGAACTGTGTTCCTTAGGCAAATTTCCTGATCTCTCTGAGCCTCGGGCTTCTCACCAATAGAACAGGGTAATATTAGTACTATTAGTAAATATTTGTAAATATGATGTCAGTTTTTATGAGGATTAAACAAGATAATGAATCTCCATTCATAGCATCTGGGTGCCAGACACTGTGCTAGTTATGTACACCACTCAGTCTTTATAACCCCCCTGCGAGGATTCTCCATTCTGATAAGTTACTCTAGGTTTGGAGAGGTTAGGGTACTTCTTACGATTATGCAGCTGACACCTGGAGAGCTCGGATTTGAATGCATGTCAGGGTCTGCAGAGTCCAAGAGTTCATGCTCGACATCCTCCCTCTTCATGTACAATAATACAGAGCCAGCTGCAGGGTTGCCCACTTTTCAGATGGTCACCCTCCCTTCCTGTGACTCTGCCAGTTGCCACAGCCTACCCTGCAGGCCCAGGTGGTAGTGGTGGTCATTCAGAGTGGGAACTCAGGCTGGGCCAGGTCCAAGGTCCCCATTCCTGCACACAGGCCTCAGAGTAGAGGTGAGGGGGGAGCTTGAGGTCTGAGTCACTGAGGTCCTGGACCCTGACTGGGAGAGAGCCCTTCCATAGGAACATTATGACTGTTTCCACCTGGATGCGGAGGGATGATGGTGCTACCCCTGCACATCCCAGGACAGCATATCCAAGTCCCAGTGCTTTGGCCAACAAGTCCCTCTCAGAGCCACTCCTGGCCCATATAGTACCTTTGTGCAAATAAGAGATGTAATCAGAGTCCCCATCTCTCTGAGATTAAACAGCCTTGGGGGCAGATTTCCTGACAGAGTCCGCTTGGGACACAAGTCAGACCATCTACTGATCCTGCTTTGCAGGGTCCCTGCGCCGAGACACAGAACGCATCTGGAGCCCCTGGTCTCCCTGGAGCAAGTGTTCTGCTGCTTGTGGTCACACTGGAGTGCAGACCCGAACACGCACCTGCTTGGCGGAGACAGTGTCACTGTGCAATGAGGCCTCTGAGGAGGGCCGACTCTGCATGGACCAGGCCTGTACAGGTACTACAACTCTTGTTCCTGGTACTGGGAAGGCATGCAACTGAGCTGAAGCAGCCCAGGAGAGGTCAGAGGGTCAGACTGATTCATTTATTCATGCATTCACCAACTATTAAATGAGCATCTGTTATGTGCTCTGATGGGGGATGTAGAGGATAATGTGGGAGCACAGAGCAGGGTCATTTATAGCTTAGGAGAATCAAAGAAGTCTTCCTGGAAGAAGTGTCCTAGGCTAAGTCTTAAAGAAGAAGTGGGAATTAGTTATGCAGGCTGATAAGGAAAGGTAACAAAGGCCTAAGTAGGAGAAGCATATGTGAGTCCGCAGGCTGAGATGTGCCTGAAGAAGAGCCAGAGTCCATATAAGCCCTCCTGATGTGGCCCCTTTTTCCACAGCCTGTGACCTGACCTGCCCCATGGGCCAGGTGAATGCGGACTGCGATGCCTGCATGTGCCAGGACTTCATGCTACATGGAGCTGTTTCCCTCCCTGGGGGCGCCCCAGCCTCAGGGGCCACTGTCTACTTGCTGACCAAGACGCCTAAGCCACTGACCAAGACAGACAGCAGTGGGAGGTTCCGAGTCCCTGGCTTGTGCCCTGATGGCAAAAGCATTCTGAAGATCACAAAGGCCAAATTTGCCCCCATCATGCTCACAATGCCCAAGACTGGGCTAAAGGCAGCCACTGTCAATGCAGAGTTCATGAGGGCAGGTACAGTTCTCCAGGATAGGGCTGGACAGGAATGCTGGACTTTTAATTAAAGGGATCATAGTGCTAAGTGCTGGCTTCCCAGCTTCCAAATCCTTACCATGACCCACAAGGCTCTATATCACCTGGCTCCTCCATTACTTCCCTGTTCTCTTCTTCTATTACTCTCCCTTTCGCCCTCACTGAGTCATTCTACTTGAGCCAGAATAGCCTCCTAGCTGTTCCTCAAACATACAAGCACACTCCTGCCCCAGGGCCTTTGCACTTGCTATATATGCTGCTTGGAGTATTCTTCCCACAGAGTTGACATGGCTTGCTCCCTCAAATGTGTGAATTCGTCCCTGGCCACCTTTTCTAAAATAGTCAATTACAATATATTGTGAGATTTGGAGAAAGAGGCTAGGGGAATCCAGAAGTGGTGCAGAATGGCCAGCATATTCTGCTGAAGGCAGCAGAATGGGAGTATTGCACTATTCAAAACAGCCAGCTCTGTCCCAGTGGCAGTGCTTGGGAATCTTAGCTTGCATGAGGTCCCCTTGGCTCTCTACTGCCCCACCCAAATGCTGCTTGAGAGGCCACAGAAGCTGATTCTAGGCCTAGGGTGTGGAGTGGGTGGACTCCATTCTGGACCATTTCCCTTACAGAGGAGCTAGGGGTGGGAGTAGGGGTAAAGTCATACAATTTTAACACATGACAAAAGAACTCATGGGAGCAAGGCTCTGGACAATCTGCACAAAGAGAAAAACCAAATCATTGTTTCTTGTGTTCTGTCCCAGAAACTCCATACATTGTGATGAACCCAGAGACAAAAGCACGGAGAGCTGGACAGAGTGTGTCCCTATGCTGTAAGGCCACAGGGAAGCCCGGTCCAGACAAGTATTTCTGGTGAGTGTCCTGCCAGTTACCTTGCCAAGTCATTTCTTGGAAATCAGTCCTTTCTTGCATTGGGTCTGGACTTATTAATCATGACAATAACCAACAGAATAAAGTTATTAGTAAGGCCCTGGCACAGAGCCCTTAAGTTGGCATTTACAAGTGGGAGCCAGAGGGGTCGAGGCTACCCAGACAACCAGCTAGCCCTGTCATTATCCTCTTGAAGCTGGGGCCGCACAGAGCAGCTCTGGTCTCAGGGTCCTGACTTGGATATCCTTGGGACACAGAACAAGGTGCCGGGCCCTGCTTCCCCTGACACAAGGTCAGAGTCCTCGAGCACTGTGAGTCCTTTACCCTTCACAGTTATTTTATAGCCATTATCTTGTCTGATGCTCCCAACAATTCTGTGAAATAAGCTAGGGAACAACCGTCCTCATTTTATAGAGCAGGAGACGAAAGCTCAGAGAGGTGAGATGATTTGTCCAAGGATCCATAGGCAGTTAGTAGTGAGGCCGGGACTCAGAGTGAAGTCCCTTGACTCCCAGGGCAGCCAGTACTCTTGGGTGAGCTGAGTCAGAGGGGGTGTTGGCATCTGCAAGGCCTCATCCATCATCTGCCTCCCTGGCTACTTGCTCCTGGCACTCTCCCTGGGGATACCTGCCCTCCCACCGTCCCCTCAGGCTCTGCCTCTGTATTCCTTCAGGTACCACAATGGCACACTGCTGGATCCCTCCCTGTACAAGCATGAGAGCAAGCTGGTGCTGAGGAACCTGCAACAGGACCAGGCTGGCGAGTACTTTTGCAAGGCCCAGGGTGACGCTGGGGCTGTGAAGTCCCAGGTGGCCCAGCTGACTGTCATAGGTAAGCAGCCAGCATCCTGAGTCGCCACAGGGCAGGTAAGCACCCCAGTGGACATATCTGGGCAATGAAGATTGGGCTTTTCTGTGCTGAGCACAGCACTATGCTCTCTAGGACTCAAAGATCTCACGGTCCTGAATCCTACCCTCACAGAGCTGCCAGTCCAGAAGGGGTGAAGAGATATAAATAAGAGACAAATAAGTAAAGATAGAAAAATGCACTGAAACAGGAAATAAGATGAGACAAAGAGACCGCTCAGTGTGAGTGACCATGGGTGATTGCTTGAGGGGGCAGCTTTTCAGCTGAAGCTTAAATAGTGGGTCACAGCCTTGGCTACTCTTGGGATCACCTGCTGAATTTTTTTTTTAAGATTTTTTATTTATTTGTTCATGAGAGACAGAGAGAGAAGAGAGAGAGAGAGAGAGAGAGAGAGAGAGAGAGAGAGAGAGGGGCAGAGACACAGGCAGAGGGGGAAGCAGGCTCCATGCACGGAGCCCGATGTAGGACTTGATCCCGGGACTCCAGGATCATGCTCTGGGCCGAAGGCAGGCTCTAAACTGCGGAGCCACCCAGGCGTCCCACACCTGATGAATTTTTAAAAATACTGATGACTGGGTCCTACCTCCAGAGAGTCTGATGTTATGGGTTTGGGATACGGTCTAGGTATGCACAGATTAAAATCTCTCCCAGTTGATTCTAATTTGCAGCCAGTGTTGAAAACCCCTCCTCTTGAATACCAGCCAGGGACTGTGTATATGGAAGTGAGGCATTCTAGATCAAGAGGCCAACATGAGCTAAGGTTTACGATTAGAGTTGGCTTTAAGAAGTAATCTGGAGGAGGAGAGACTCAAGGCCAAGATCAATCAGGAACCTGTACCTGCAAAGTGGGCAGGGAAGAAGGATATCTTAATAATTGGCATAGGAGCACCTGGGTAGCTCAGTTGGATGGGCCTCTGCCTTTGGCTCAGGTCATGATCCCAGAGTCCTGGGATCAAGCCCCACATCGGGCTCCCTGCTCAGCGGGGGGTTTGCTTCTCCCTCTCCCTCTGCCCCTTCCTCTTATTCATTTTCTGTCTCTCTCCAATTAAAAAAAAATTGGCCTAAACAAAGGAGAGAGAGAGGAAAGTTTATTGGAAGAATTCTGAAATATTTCACAGACTCTGAGAATGTTGAGCAACAGACCTCAGAGCAAATAGGACACAGGGCACTAGGGCCGCTGCAGAGGAAATGTGGAGCCCCCTATAGAGTGGTTCCCAATCCATATTCTTGGTTCTTCCACCTGTAACAGCTATTTTTAACACTGCCTAACCATTCTGAAGTTAAATTGATAGAAAAGAGCTATATATAATTTCCAAATACATGTGCACATGGCCCTAACTACAACATAAAGGAAAAATAAAATAACTCTAATTCAAAACAGTATTATTTCAACGTATAAATGTTTTTGGCATAACAACATCAGAAGGCTAACCAAGAGGTTGGACACTTGCACACTTGCACTTAAATCCAGTCATCATGAATGTGACAGCTTGGGTTCACATTCCTTGGGTAATGTTGTGCAGGTATGTGGTTTTTCTGGAATAAGGAGTAATTCTTGGTATTATTCCAAGCTAAACCAAGTCCAATCTTCACTGGATTTATATGGTAGTTGTGCTCTTTAAAAATCCAAAGTATGAAAAAAAAATTCAACGTATGGTTAAAGCCACATAAAAATAGTAGGCTCTGATCATTTCAAACAGGTTTTCCACCAACATGAATGTCTGCTGGGATATGTAAACTTCATGCAGAGAAATTCTTTTTTTTTTTAAATATGCAGAGAAATTCTTAATGCAGAACAGTGCCAGACCATTGCAGGACACAGAGCAGCAATGCCCATCCTCCACTCCGCCCACTACTTTTTTTTTTTCAAACACAACTTAACTAATCTTATTTGACTGCATCTTATTTAGACAGCTTGCATGTTTCAAATTCCATTAAATCTATCTCTGCAAAAGGATATGGGATGGTAGAAGAAAATTATGCAGCAATATCCAGTCATCGAACAGCAGTCCAATATTTGGAGGTACACGTGATATTTTATAGATACTGAACTCACATATGACATCAATATAATTTATGGTTATGTTTTTACAAACCTGAAACCTGTAACATGATAGCACTCATTTTAGTGATGTCATGGTGCACTGAAAAGTAACTCTGATGCACTACCAATTTGCTTTTATCTACGCTCCTGGAAAATGATGATTTTTAGACACTGTAATAAACATACACATCTAGTCTTCTACACGTCAGCCAATACCATACCACAGTGCCAGCAGAACTCCTCATTTTAGTGGTAATTCAAAACACTCTCACAAACTTTCAAGACCCTTCTATTGAGAACCATGATTCTAATGGTATAAAATGTATAAAATGAAATTAATGATGTTCACTCCATCTCCCTCAGAAGAGTTCTGTGAGATTTGGGATCTTGGATGTGCAAGTACTTTGAAAACCATAAAGCCCCACAGAGAGGTGAGGGTAAGGATACCCTATATGTAGGACATGAACTTACTTTTAATATTCACATCATTTCCCTCCATAGCCGCTGATGAGACTCCTTGCAATCCAACTCCTGAGAGCTACCTTATCCGGCTGCCCCATGACTGCTTCCAGAATGCCACCAACTCCTTCTACTATGACGTGGGCCATTGCCCGGTTAAGACCTGCGCAGGGCAGCAGGATAACGGGATCAGGTGCCGGGATGCTGTGGAGTACTGCTGTGGCATCTCCAAAACAGAGGAGAAAGAGATCCAGTGCAGTGGGTACACACTACCCACCAAGGTGGCCGTGGGGTGCAGCTGTCAGCGGTGCACAGAGACCCGGAGCATCGTGCGTGGCCGCGTCAGTGCTGCTGACAACGGGGAACCCATGCGCTTTGGCCACGTGTACATGGGAAGTAACCGTGTGAGCATGACTGGCTACAAGGGCACCTTCACCCTCCATGTTCCCCAGGACACAGAGAGGTTGGTGCTCACATTTGTGGACAGGTTGCAGAAGTTTGTCAACACCACTAAAGTGCTGCCCTTCAACAAGAAGGGGAGTGCAGTGTTCCATGAGATCAAGATGCTTCGGAAGAAAGAGCCCATCACACTGGAGGCCACGGACACCAACATTATTCCCCTGGGGGAGGTGGCTGGAGAAGACCCTATGGCTGAACTGGAGATCCCATCCAAGAGTTTCTACAGGCAGAATGGGGAACCCTACACAGGAAAAGTAAAGGCCAGTGTGACCTTCCTGGATCCCCGGAATATTTCCACAGCCACTGCTGCCCAGAGTGACCTGAACTTCATCAACGATGAAGGAGACACCTTCCCCCTTCGGACATATGGTATGTTCTCTGTGGACTTCAGAGATGAGGCCACCTCAGAGCCGCTTAATGTTGGCAAAGTGAAGGTCCACCTTGACTCAACCCAGGTCAAGATGCCAGAGCACGTGCCCACAATGAAACTCTGGTCGCTCAACCCAGATACAGGGTTGTGGGAAGAGGAAGGTGACTTTGAATTTGAAAGCCAAAGGCGAGGCAAAAGGGAAGAGAGAACCTTTCTGGTGGGCAACATGGAGATCCGTGAAAGGAGGCTCTTTAATCTGGATGTCCCAGAAAACAGGAGGTGCTTTATCAAGGTTAGAGCCTACCGGAGTGAGAGGTTCTTGCCCAGTGAGCAGATCCAGGGGGTTGTGGTCTCTGTGATCAACCTAGAGCCCAGAACTGGCTTCTCGTCCAACCCCAGGGCCTGGGGTCGCTTTGACAGTGTCATCACGGGCCCCAATGGGGCCTGTCTGCCTGCCTTCTGTGATGACCAGTCCCCTGATGCCTATTCCGCCTATGTCTTGGCAAGTCTGGCTGGGGAAGAACTGGAAGCAGTGCAATCTTTTCCTAAATTCAACCCAAATACAATTGGTGTCCCTCAGCCCTATCTCAATAGGCTCAAATACCGTCGGACAGATCATGAGGACCCACGGGTTAAGAAGACAGCTTTCCAGATCAGCATGGCCAAGCCAAGGCCCAACTCAGCTGAGGAGAGCAATGGGCCCATCTATGCCTTTGAGGACCTCCAGGCATGTGAGGAGGCACCACCCAGTGCAGCCCACTTCCGGTTCTATCAGATTGAGGGGGATCATTATGACTACAACACTGTCCCCTTCAACGAGGACGACCCTATGAGCTGGACTGAAGACTACCTAGCATGGTGGCCCAAGCCAATGGAGTTCAGGGCCTGCTACATCAAGGTGAAGATTGTAGGGCCTGTGGAGGTGAATGTGCGATCCCGCAACATGGGGGGCACCCACCGGAGGACAGTGGGCAAGTTGTATGGGATCCGGGATGTGAAGAGCACACGGGACAGGGACCAGCCCAATGTCTCATCTGCCTGTTTAGAGTTCAAGTGCAGTGGGATGCTCTATGACCAGGACCGTGTGGATCGCACACTGGTAAAGGTCATCCCTCAGGGCAGCTGCCATCGAGCCAGCGTAAATTCCATGCTTCACGAGTACCTGGTCAACCACCTACCACTAGCAGTCAATAATGACACCAGTGAGTACACCATGCTGGCACCCCTGGATCCACTGGGCCACAACTATGGCATCTATACTGTCACCGACCAGGACCCTCGCACGGCCAAGGAGATTGCACTTGGCCGGTGCTTTGATGGGACATCCGATGGCTCCTCCAGAGTCATGAAGAGCAACGTGGGAGTGGCCCTCACCTTTAACTGCGTAGAGAGACAGGTGGGCCGCCAGAGTGCCTTCCAGTACCTCCAGAGTCCCCCCTCCCGGCCCCCTGCCACAGGCACTGTCAGAGGAAGAGTGTCCTCAAGGAGACAGCAACGGGCTAGTAGGGGTGGCCAGCGCGGGTGAGAAGGCGTGGCCTCTCTGAGGTTTCCCGGGATTGCTCCTCAGCCTCTGAGCAACTAAGTCATATGGTACTTTTCTTCCCCCACCTCATGTGACAGCCATTGTGAGACTGATGTATAAACTGTCACTTGGTTAATTTAAGCACATCTGTTCTGGTGCAATTTGCTTGTTTTCTTCATGCCTTTACTTACTGTATTTACCCCATGATACCGATTGGCACGTAGCCCACAGAGATGTCAAAATAAATCTTTTTTGTCTTGTTCTTTAAAAGAAATACAAGAAACTGACCATTGATAAAGTCAGTGGCCATCAACGAAAATGTCCTTCCTTTTTTTTTTTTTTGCAGGGTTTTGTTCACCTCTACAGTAATGATAATCTGATGTTAAAAACCAAATAACCAATAGAAAGCATATTTCTTGGCCTTGGTCTATGGGATGTCAGCAAGGCCTCTATCACAGTCCGCACATATAAATGGTGGTGAAATAAAGGAATAATCGACAATATTCTTACTTGAAATGTAAATAAGTTATTTCTTTGATGAATTTGGAACTCTAGTATACATCCCACATTAAGCTGTTGAACACAGGGTAATTATAGTTCCTCTGCCAAGTCTGGAAAGACCATCTCATGACTACCACTGCGATGGGTTGCTAACTATATTTGTGCATTTCCTTTTATATTTACTTTTGTTCTTGCTGGAGGCCCAGTGTACCCCAGAGCAGATGTCAATAAATGCACATTTGGTATTTGTTTTTGAGGCCCCTGTCCTGTCTCACCTATAAAGTGAGCCAGCTGCTCAGAGGGACAGAGGTGACTCTGGAAAGTGGTCACAAAGTGGCATGAGGTGCAGTCCCCTCTTCAGGACCCCTCCCATCACCCCCCCCCCCAGGGTTGAGTAATTAGGCACACACTCGGGTGATCAAGTTTGTTCTCATGGATCATATTTTCCACTTGCAGAGAAGAGCAGAGATTCCTGGAGTTGTGAGTATGTTCTGGGCTCCTGAGCAAAGCTAAAAACATGTCCCTTTTTTTTCTTTCTTTCTTTCCAATACTGGGGAGCTTATACAATGGCTTGGCTCAAGGTTGGGCAAGCTGGCCAAGTGCTCCTCCGGCAACCCCCCACAGCCTGCTGCCTGCTCCAGCTGTGCTGGCTGACCTCACTCACAAATGACGGGCTTTTTTTTCTTTTTCTTTTTTTAATTTTTATTCCAAGCTCTTCTAAAGACGCCCAGCTTTTCCAGATACCAGATCTCTGTTGTGCATAACAGCTCCTGCCCCTTGAGTAAAATAACTAGTCTAAATGGAAAGGGCTTTGTTTTTGGAAAAAATATTTGGTTTAAAATAGTAAATCAGAGGCCAGTGGATGGTGCCAGAGTAATCTTGGAGGCATCTAGAGTCAGGGTGGTGGAGCATGGGGTTGGATGAGACACAGACTGCCCCTTTCCCAATCCTTCCAGAATCTGTCAGGGAAGAGGCCAAGGAGACTCGGGGAGGAGAAGGCATCATTTATAATCAAGATAGAAAGCTTTCCTCTCCTGGCTGGCCCAGTTGCGGCTCCTTTTGGCCACCTCTGGCCTGGACTAGATTTTGTGCTCTTGAATCAGCATCTGCCCAGCTCCCTAGGGTTTCGTTCATAATCAATTAGAAATTTCTCTGGCTGAGCACCCTATCCTCATGACCTCCAAGAAAATGAGTGAATGCAGGGCTGGGGCCTAGTGGCCTTGTGATCACTCCTTGACCCACTTCCAAAAACACTTTCCGGGGAGCGGCCCTCACTGACTCTTTGGGGAGCTTGACTGCCCCTGCTGAGGGGTCAAGTGTTCAGCTATGGGCAGCACAGATGCTTCACAGCTTCGGGAGCCAGTGCTTCAACCTGATCACCCAGTTCCCTTCAAACTCACAAAGAGAAGGTGCTGGAAAAAAGTGGGTTGATTGGGTTCTCTCACTCCATACCCTTCCCTTTCTGTTCTCCATTGAGGGCCTAAATAAATGGACTCTAGCAGACAGTAGCTGGTACCTGATGTTTTTCTTCACTCACCAAATATTTATTGACTGCCTACTCTGTGTCAATCCATGTGTGCAATAGAGCAGCCTTTATGTGTTTATAAAATCTAGTACACACAGGGGCACCAGTCTTGGAGGGGTTGGGGTCAGAGAAGGCTTCCTGAAGGAGGTGATATCTAATATGAATGATAGCTAGGAGCTGGTTTGCTGAAGGTATGGCTGTCAGGTGTAAGGGCGCAAGGGCACAAGCAGAAACAGCTTGTAGAGGCTGGAGGGAGTGCCAGATACCTCTCTTTCAGATGAGGAAACACTATGGAGTTGAACTCATGTGACCTAATTTCTAAGCATCTTGGTTCCAAAGACAGACACACTCCCTGCTAGCAGTGTGATTTTGGTTTGCTTCTCCTGGACCTCATTTTCCTGATCTATAAATGAAAGAGTTGATTGTATACTTAAAACTAATATGTTATATGTCCATTCTCTCTCAAAAATGAATGAATGAATATTTTTTTTAAATGAGGGAGTTGGTGTAGATGAGAATCTAAACCATCTCTACAGTCTTTTTCGTGAGGCTAAGAGCACAATTCCCAGGATGCCTTTGCTTCACCAAACTGCTGATGATTCATTGGGTGTTCCGGGTGTTCCCTTCCTCTGTGGAGACTCTACACACTGGGTGGACAGAGCAGTCATTTTAGAAAAGCCCTGGGGTTTTGGTCTCAGCCTGCTGTACAGTGGTGGATCAGCCAGGTCCCAAGAGTGAACTGTACAAGGATGGACCCCAGATGGCAGGCAGAAAGGCCACAGGCAGATAAAGGGGCCCCATCAGGCTGCTTCTGTTTCCAAGCATGGATGTTTTCCAGGCAGAACGGTCTCTAGAGTTTGGAGAACGTTAGCAGCTGAAGGTGATAGAGGAAAACATCACCAAGATGTCAGGACAAGAACAGTCTTGAAAGACTGAGAAGACTTAAGCCAAGTCACAGGTGGTACAGGGACAGGTGGAGTTTCAGGCAAAAGGGACAACTGGAGCTGAGGAGCTGAGGTGGAATTGTGCACTGAAGGCTTTTGGTTACAAGTAACAGGGGCGGCTGTGCCAGGAGAGCTCAGGAAGGACAGAACCCAGAACTGCAAAGCCATCAGAATCCACCCCATCACCCTCTCTGGCTTTGATTCTCTCATTTCCTCTCAGGGATTTTTGCTCTCTCAAGCTCTAACTCGCTCTTGCCCTACATGCTGTTTTTCTCAGACTGTCTTTCAGATTTTGTTTCTGTTTCTCTCCACTTTCCAGGTCCCTCTCTCTGGTCAGTTTGTTTCCCAATCTCTCTGTCTCTCTGTCTGTCTCTCTCTCTCATGGGTGGTCTCTACTCTGTTCAGAAACCCTTAGTTTCTCTTGGTAGATCAGTTTTCTCAGCTCCTCAAGGTGAGGTGGTCATCTCAAGCCTAGATCCCTTGAAGAGAGCAACTGATTGGCCCACTTTGTTTTTTTTTTTTTTTAATTTTTATTTATTTATGATAGTCACAGAGAGAGAAAGAGAGAGAGGCAGAGACACAGGCAGAGGGAGAAGCAGGCTCCATGCACCGGGAGCCTGACGTGGGATTCGATCCCGGGTCTCCAGGATCGCGCCCTGGGCCAAAGGCAGGCGCCAAACCGCTGCGCCACCCAGGGATCCCGATTGGCCCACTTTGAATCAGGACTCTAACTCTGGTCCAACCAGCTGTGGCCATTAGTGGGGGTGGGGTGGGGCATAAAGACAGAGGGGCCCATCAAGCTGCTGCTGCTTCCAAGCAAGGATGTTTTCCAGGCAGGTGGACTGGTCCTACTGTATGGTGGTGGTTGCTGGGGCGGTGTGGGACATTCTTAGAGAAAGGTGATCCTCATGAGTTGTGAAGACACCCCCAGAAGGTGAACACTTCAAGAGGATAGTGAGCAGATAGATCACTGTGAGTTTACTCCAAATTTATGGTTTTTCATTTCCAAACATCTAGGGATTTTAATTAAATATATACATAAGATCTGTGTGGTACCTGTTCTTTGAAATCTGTTGAATCTTTCTTCATGACCTAGTACTTGGTCAGTTTTAGTGGTTTCTATTGCGCTTGGGGGTGGGGGGGGAGTGTCTTCTCTAATCATTGGGTGCCAAGCTCTACATAGAACCATCAACTCAAACTTGTTCATTGCTCAATTCCGTAAATAAGGAGTGTGCTGAAATCTTCCACTAGGTAGTACACTTAATTTTTGTGACTCAGTTTTGGCTTTATTTATTTTGAAGTTATTTATTTTTTTAAGATTTTACTTATTTGTTTGAGAGAGAGAGAGGGAGCATGAGTGGGGGGAGGGGGAAAGGGAGAGGGAGAAGCAGACACCCCACTAAGCAGGGACCCCAGGAGGAGCTTATCCCAGGACCGGAGATCATGGCCTAAGAGGAAGGCAGACGCTTAACCCACTGAGCCGCCCATGTGACCCTATTTTGAAGCTATTTTATTTTATTTTTTAAAAAGATTTTTATTTATTTATTCATGAGAGACAGAGAGAGAGGCAGAGACACAGGCAGAGGGACAGAGGGAGAAGCAGGCTCCATGCAGGGAGCCCGACGTGGGACTCCAGGATCATGCCCTGGGCCGAAGGTAGGCACTAAACTGCTGAGCCACCCAGGAATCCCTTGAAGCTACTTTAATGGGTGCATATTAAGTATTGAATTTTTGTGCCTTCTTGCAAGTTGAATCTTTTATCATTATGTAATTATGTTCTTTGTTCCCATAATGCTTTTTTGCCTCAAAGCCTGTTTTGTCTAATGTTTTTGACTTTCTGTATCCTTTTAAAGATGTGTTTCTTATAAACAGCATTATAGCTGGATTTTTGTTCATTTTAGTATATCTAATAATCTGTCTTCTAACTGGTGAGTTTAGTAAATACATATGTTGATTATAGTTATGTTTGAATTTGTTTTCATTATCTTACTTGCTGGTTTCCTTCTAAATCACTCTTTCTCTTATTGTCAACTTTTGGATTGAGTAATATTTTTCTTACTTCACTTTTTCCCCTTATATTGATTTGGAAGTATTACACTTTTGCTATTCTTCTAATACTTTCTCTTGAATTTTTATTATACATACTGATTTTAACAAAATCAAAGTTAATTGCATTTCACCTCTTAAACTATTTTAGTTGTTTTGCCCCTCAAAATAAACACTTATAATTTTATACAATGTTTCTTTAGATTTATTTACGTGTTTGTCTCTTCAGACCTTGCTTTTAAGGTCATTTTTCTTCTTCCTGAAGTATGTATGTATTTATTTTGTTTTTTTTGAGGGTGCTATACCCAGTGCAGAGCCCAACACAGGGTTTGAACTCACAACCCTGAGATCAAGACCTGACCTGAGATCAAGAGTCAGATACTTAACCAACTGAGCACGGTGCCCCAAGAATACCTTTATAAATAGCTTTAGTGAAGGTTCATTGTTGGTAAACATAAGCCCTCACCTTTTTTTTCCTTTTTGGTCCTTATTTTTTTAAATATAAAATATTTTTTAAAGAAATTTAAAATTATTCCTGAAGTAAATATCACTTTTGTTATCTAATATTATAGCTAATGCAAATTTATTGCAAACTGAAAAGGACTTACAAACCAAGGGTCCAGATCCTCTCTCTTTCATCTCTTTCAGTTTTTCTTTTTCTTTTTTTCCCCCAAGTTTTTATTTAAATTATCTTTTCAGTTTTTCATTTAAAATCAGGCAAGCTCCCTACAGTGCTAAGGTATAACGGAGTAAGTGAAGTCATCAACAAGCTGGCTAGGAAGCACAACTAAAAAAGGATTTTTTACAGTCATAAAAGGAAAGCCATAAATTATAGTACATTGCATAGTAAAAAAAATCTTATTAAGCACTCTCGGTGTGCTATGGGTCAAAGAATAATTTATTCCTTACATTTACCCTAGGAGGTCAAGAGCACTCCAATTTGTAGTTGAAAAAACAGGCTTATAAAGTTAATTTGCCAGAAATAACCCAGCTGGATGGAATCCACATACAAGTCCTCCTACTTCTACCATCATCCCAAAATACTAAACAAGCACTGACTCCAAGCACTGTCTCCAGGATTTGGTACACCAGAAGTTCCAAAGAGATTAGTTTTAAAAACATTCCTCCCCTACTCTCACCCCCATCTACCTTATAGATTCAAAGAAGGAAACTGTGGTGAGTTACTGCCACCTGCTGACCATTTTCCTGAACATCAGGATGGAGGACTGCCCACTACTCAAGGACAAAGAGGGCCTTGTGCACTCTGAGGTCACCACCGGCCCCCAAGGACAGCCCCAGGACGATGGTGGGCACCCAGACGCAGACCCCTTGATCTCCCTACTATACCAAGGCTGGGCAGCGACCTCCTGAGGGAGAAAACGTTGGCAATTGGAGGCAACCTAATGAAGTGACCTTAAGAAATAAAGGCACAGGTTTCTACCTCCACAGTGCAAATGCACCTCATTCATTTCTGCAAATAAGCCTTTGCATCTCCTGAGTCTAGCAATAAAAATAGATTCTGGAATCCCACTCCAGACTATTTTTTCAAAACCTTTAGGGAAGGAGCCTACATATATTTTTAACAAACATTTGAGTCATTCCATTTTTTTTTTTAAGATTTTATTTATTTATTAGAATACACAGAGAGGAGAGAGAGAGAGAGAGAGAGGCAGAGACACAGGCAGAGGGAGAAGCAGGCTCCATGCAGGGAGCCTGACGTGGGACTGGATCTGGGGTCTCCAGGATCACACCCTGGGCTGAAGCAGCACTAAACAACTAAGCCACCAGGGCTACCCCATTTGAGTCATTCTTAAGAGAAGGACGGATGAGGGATCACTGTCTTCATGGAATGAAGGAATTTTAGTCCCTGATGTGAGACATTTCTGGGTAGGGCATGGAGATTCTACAGACCCCTAAAATCTTACCAGATTTTGGAGAAGATATAGGCAAGGAATGAAAACAGTCATGGAGATTAGGATGTGAGTCCTGGTTCTGCTGTGACCTTGGACCAGTTACTTAAACCTTCTACATCTTTATTTTCTCAGCTGCCAAGACCAAAATGCAGATAATAACAGTATCTCACTGTATTGCTATGATAATTAGATGAGAAAGTAGATGGGAAGTCACTTTGTAAAATTCTATACAATGTTGTTTTATTTTGAGTCTCGCACTACCTGTAAACATAAGCCCTCACCTTTTTTTTCCTTTTTGGTCCTTATTTTTTTAAATATAAATGTTGATTTCTTGTCCTATGCCTGGTAGGATCAATGTCTGCCAGTCTGAAGGATTGGTGTCCAGCCATGAAAAAGAAATGTCTTTATTCAGAAGATACAGTGATTCCCAATAGAATCATGGCTCTCTGAGAGGCTACACCAGAATCTCTGGTGAAGAGGGTGAGATTTTGATATTTATCAAAGGGAGTCCAGGTTTATAAAGTAACAACTGAGAAACAGTTTTAAAATTAGGAGACTTGGGCGCTATTTCTCTGTTTCAGACTCATTGTGTGACTTTGTTAAGTCTTGACTTTGTGTAGGCCTGTTTCCTCATCTGAAAAATCCAGTGCTAAATTGGATGACTCACTGACTCTAACCTATAAAAATATTTTTCACAGGGATGCCTGGGTGGCTCAGTGGTTGAGCACCTGCCTTTGGCTCAGGTCATGATCCTGGGGTCCAGGATCGAGTCCCACATGGGGCTCCCTGCGAAGAGCCTGCTTCTCCGTCTGCCTGTGTCTCTGCCTCTCTCTCAGTCTATGTCTGTCATGAATAACTAGATAAATCTTTAAAAAATATATTTTTCACTTATTAATTCACAATGTCCAAAATCCTGACAGATAAAATCAAGTATAAAAGGAGTAAAAACAGGGATCCCTGGGTGGCGCAGCGGTTTGGCGCCTGCCTTTGGCCCAGGGCGCGATCCTGGAGACCCGGGATCGAATCCCACATCAGGCTTCCGGTGCATGAAGCCTGCTTCTCCCTCTGCCTGTGTCTCTGCCTCTCTTTCTCTCTGTGACTATCATAAATAAAATAAAAAATTAAAAAAAAAATAAAAAATAAAAAAAAATAAAAGGAGTAAAAACAACAACAAAAAAGAATTTTACATAAAATGGAGACATAGATTGTTATATGCTTTCAGCTATGTAGGTCATAAAAGGTAAATAACTCAGGATAAGAAGTCAGCTCCTTTAGTGAAACTATTTTAGCTATAAAATTGCACTTGACTTTCTTTTCTTTCTTTCTTTTTTTTTTTTTTTAACTATCATTAACCTGTCAGGAAAGAATTGAAAGTGGGTGTGATGTGGATGCTTTTTGTTCCAAATGCTGGTAAGATGTGACCATAGGATTATGTCACTCTCCAGATAGAGGATCCATTTTATCATAGGACAAGTCTCAAATGGCTCTGTGCTTCCAAATCCAGAACTTGAAGGAACGGCCTGAGAGCAACCTGACTAGAGGTTATTCATGCAGTGCCAAGTGAGAGGAGGTCTTAGCATGCCCCCTGAGCCTCGTTGCTCTTTGCCCAGACAGCAACATCCCTTAGCTATCTGGCCACACCTCGGAGCAAGAACACTGGCCCAACCTGTGAATTTCAAGTCACCTTGTACACTTTCAGGTACGCTTGTAAAATGGAACATGCTCCTTTGTCAAACAGCCAAGTGGTTCCTAAAGAATAACCCTTTACATTTGAACTCTTTCCAAAATAGCAGTTATTTTATTTAAACTTGACAACCTTCTGTGCTCCAATACCGAATAGGAAGTCTTGGCATGTCCCCACGGTACAAGTTCCCCAATTTGAACACCACTTTAAGGCTTACACCATTAAAGAGCCTAGCACAAAGTTACTGTCCCAGTTCAGCTATGTAGGGTGCTGATCCTAATAATCCAGGTATATTCTGTCCCGTGGAGCATAATTTTGGGGTGATGCACTGAAACTACCAAATTTATGTTGCCCGTGTGATGAAATTGTCACCGGTCTGACGCCAAAGCCACATGACCCTTGTACACATCGCAGAGAAAAAGTTACATTGAGTTGTGTACAGCTCCCTCTGTGTTGTACTCTTTAGGGCAAAGTCTATACTCTATGCCAATCAGGCATCTCCTGGGAATTCCTCTGGTACACTCATCAGTTGAATTAACCATTGTATAAACTTGTAGAATTTGTGTCTCTTAACACTAACCTCTTTGTGAATTATAATTTGCTCTGAACAGACATAGTATTTTCTAAAGACACCACCCCAGGTTTCTGCCAAGCAAAAGCATTGTTAGCAAATGAGTATTTAGTCAAGTACTTACTGATTTTCTACTGTGTATTTAGCCCAAATATATATGTATAATGAAATACTTGCCTTCAAAGAGCTCAAAGTCCAGTTGGGAAGACAGGCTAAACACAAAATATCAATCTGTAACTAAAGTTAATGCTTAATTATCCTGAGAATAATATAAGTATATATTATACAATAATATAAGGATATTCCTGTCATCATATATCTTTGTTTTACTTGCTTACTGTCTTATCTTTTCCCATTAGAATAAAAGCTCCATGGGCAGCCCAGGTGGCTCAGCGGTTTAGTGCCACCTTCAGCCCAGGGCCTGATCCTGGAGACCTAGGATCGAGTCCCATGTCAGGCTCCCTGCATGGAGCCTGCTGCTGCCTGTGTCTCTGCCTCTCTCTCTGTGTCTCTCATGAATAAATAAAATCTTAAAAAAAAAAAAAAGAATGGAAGCTCATGAGAGAAATTATTTTTTTTAAAGATTTTATTTATTCATGAGAGACACAGAGAGAGAGAGAGGCAGAGAGACACAGGCAGCAGCAGGCTCCATGCAGGGAGCCTGATGTGGGACTTGATCCCAGGACTCCAGGATTATGCCCTGGGCTGAAGGCGGTGCTAAACTGCTGAGCCACAGGGGCTGCCCAAGAAACATTTTTTTATTCAATGCTATTTCCTCAGTGGTGCCTGACATGTAATTGATGTTCAATACGTATTTGTTGAATGAGAAGTCAAATTCCTAGAATAGTCAGAGAAAAGGAACCCTTCAGGTAAAACTTTACTGTGCTTTTATTCAGCTTGCAATCTACAGGTTTAAAGGAGCAAATTCTTTATTTCTATAATAAGAAGGAAATTGTATATAATTGAAATAGAAGGTGGGGTGGGATGAAAGTAATTTATATTGGGTGTTAGAGTCCATGTGATCAGTTAGCTCATTACTAAAAGAGCTTTCTACTAGAATCAATGATTTTCCAACACTGTTTTAAAGCAGAATAATTCAGGATCCCTGGGTGGCTCAGTGCCTGCCTTCAGCCCAGGGCATGATCCTGGAGTCCCGGGATCGGGTCCCACATCAGGCTCCCTGTGAGGAGCCTGCTTCTGTCTCTGCCTCTCTCTCATGAGTAAATAAAAATCTTTTTTAAAAAAAAAAAAAAAACAGAATAATTCTATTTTCCAACAAAACACCAGTAAATGAAACAGATAAAAGCAGAGCCACTCTAACTTAGGAGGAAGAGACAGGTGAGGTTCACCCTTTTAATCCCCTCACTCTTGCCATAGAGCTATAGTTTCTGAGGGATTCTAGGAATACAGTTTGAAAACGCTGGATTGAGGGAACTTTAGAGTCTCTTCTCTCACAAAATTCTATTAATACAGGCATTTAAGGAATACCTAGACTCCCTTCTGTTCCCTGCCACTTTAAGGTAAAGTAGCAGCAGGAGTCAGCTGAGAGAAAAACACAGAACACTGTGGTCTGGGCCAAGGCCAATGGCCCTTTTTCATGGCCAGTCCCAGGGAAATAGAAGCCACATTCCTCTGATCCAAGATGGATGAGGGCTAAACAACTTGTGTGTGTTTGGGGGGGTGGGGGGCACCTGGGTGGCTCAGAGGTTGAGCTGCTGCCTTTAGCTCAGGGCGAGATCCTAGGATCCTGGGACTGCGTCCCTTATCAGGCTTTAGCAGGGAGCCTGCTTTTTCCTCTGCTTGTGTCTCTGACTCTGTGTGTTTGTCATGAATAAATAAATAAAATCTTTAAAAAATAAATAACTTGTGTGATTGGGCTAGACTTTAGCTTGCTCTTCTTTTCCTTGCCCCCCACCTCTTGCCCTTCGCCTAGGCTCAGAGCTAAAGGCAACCAAATTCACCTTGTCATTTCCCTGGGCTTCGGAGTTGATTAAAATCTTATAAAGTAAATACTCAGTCTGCTGCCAACCAAGATGGAAAGAGAGTCTGGTTCATTCGTCACCATCCTCCCCTGGTACAACAGGTTGACCTGCTTTAGCTGTCTGGCGAGGAATCAGCCATGCAGACAGACGTTCAAAGGCTAACAGAACTTTTTTTACCAGGGTGTAGTCACCTTAAACCCTTAAAGGAGCCGACAAAGAATCATAAAGCACCCAGGGACTTGCTACAGCTGGAACAGTTATTACCACTTGGCTTGAAAGAACAAGGAAAGAGAGCTGTCACCCAACAGCTGTAGCTTGGAGAACTAGGTAAAAATACCACTTTCACGTTACAAGTGAAAAGACTCAGAAGAGGTACGTTA